GGCCTCTGAGATCATCAAGTCCAGCCTATGAGCCAACACCATCACATCGGCCAGACCATGGTGCTAAGTGCCACATCCAGCCTCTCCTTAAACACCTCCAGGGATGGTGACTCCACCACTTCCTTGGGCAGCGCATTCTAACGTCTGATCACCCTCTCCATGAGGAAGTGTTTCCTGATATCCAGACTACCCAACAAGTTGGGACTCAGAGATGTAAGAGATCTTTTAAGATTATTTCTTTCTATCTCTCCATGCTTATTGTGATTCCTTCAGAGGGAAAAAAAAAATAAAATAACAGAAACAGAAGACTGAAAATCCACTAGACAAACATCTGTAGAACAAAGCCAGTAAATATCAGTAATGGGGCACAAAAGGTGAGGCTTAACGGCTCTAAAAATACCAGTTCAGATGACAAGAAACTCGGAAATTCCTGAGTCAAGGAGCCAAGTAAACTCCAAGAGGAACAAAGCCATCCTTAGACTGGCTGAAATTTCAGCGATCTCAGTGAAGTTAAAAACCACCACATCTCCTTTTCAAGCATGTCTCCTGGATACCACTCCTAAGCAGCATTATCAGCTCTGTCCATTACTCGTTAGCGAATATGCCACCTCTAACAACACGCTTTAAAAATACTGGTGCATGCACTGCATAGCTGAGCTACTGCTCTAAAGGATTAGAAAATCAATATTTGGAGACAGGGAGATGTACTGCAAAGCTGTGATTATGTAAGCCAACCAAAAGCTTGTATTTGAGTTGGGCCTGGCTGTAAGCCTAGAAAACCTTCAGGCTGATGTCTAGAGAATTTTGTTTTCTGAGTTTTTGTTTTCATCAGCTGGCACAGCATATCTAATGCAACAGACTAAACAAAGTAAGAAACAGGAAAGAGAAAGCAAGACAGTGAGAAGAAAGCAGGAAGAATAAGAAGTGGTTATAACACAACATTGCAAACTCCAAGGAAGCAGAATCCTCAAAAATGGCAAAACACCCCTCTCGAAACTAATTAATCTAAATTAACGTTAGTAACAGTCCTTTCAACATTTTTTAATACTGCGTCGAACATGGCAATATGACATTCCTTTAAAAGCCTGAAAATAAAATAAAACGAAGCCAGTTAACTAAAAAGAAGAAAACAACTCAGCATAAAATACATGTTATCATGTTTACTCTAGGGACACTGTGTAACAGTTTATTACTTCTTAATGTCTTTTATACTTCAGAGACAAAGTGATTCTTTTGATATTACAAACCTATACTGGATTTATCTATTTCTACTTTCTATGCCTACTCAGCTCATGTTTTTGGATAGCTGGAAAAAACATTTCATGATGACTGTCCACTACATTTTGCCAGTCCTGTCCAATTTTAAATATCCAAAACCCACCACTTCAACGCATCTGGATTTGGTTGTTTCTTTGCTTCCACATATGGAAAAAGCAGCCAACATTCAGTGATCAAAAGGCAGGAAAACAAACACATTTACCTACAAGCCACATTTCTTGAAAAATGGTCACAGATACTCTTAACAAATATTGTTAAAGGCATTAAACATGATGCTGAAACACGTAAGCATATGGGTTTTCAATATAATTTATATTTCTTAGTATAAAGCAAGTTACAAGCCAATAAGGGTGCAAATTATATGGCTGTTATGTAATTAGCAAAATTGGGAGTCAGATCCAGGTTTTTCAAGACAGCATTACAAGCAGGCAAAAAACTAACCTAAAAAAACTTCACAATGCTGAAGCAGCAAGCCTGCTTCCCCTTCTGTTTATTCCAGCACCAGAATTCTCCTCGTATACCACAATATTTCAACAACCAGTCCTTTTCCCCATCCAGTGTCCAGACTGAGCACTGGTGGTGGCTTCAACTTCCATGCCAATGGTGACCAGCTGCAGGTGAGTCCATAGGCAAGTAAGATTTTCAAAGAACCAAATGTGCAGTACAAAAAAGCTGCAAGTGGCCCCCAAAGCATTTGGTCATGTATGACATACAGGTGCCTGTTTCTGACATTAGCTCTGGGAACCACCTGACAAGAAGAGGGTTAGAGAATTACACTGTGCTGCCATGCCCCTTCCCAGTCCATGTGGCTAGTCCAAATCTAGTTTGGGTGGAAAAAGAAAAAAATAGTAAAATAAAATATATCAGACAGTAGAACAGATACGAGGAGGTGGTTCTCATCACAAGACCTTCCTTCAAGAAGACAAATGGTTTCTAGCTCACTCATATCAGATCCACTTTGATATGGGAAAACACACTCCTTGCCTGCTGCAAAAATCTTCTGCAGTGGTCCAGAGGACGTATCTTCATTATTTGGTAGAAAACAGTTGCATGAACCCAGCTGGCTCAAAATTCACAGGTCCGTTATACCCCTTTTTTGTTTAAAACTGATTAGTAAATTAAGAAGTTTCACTTTTTGCTTTGTTAATAAAAGGATTTCACTTTTGAGTTGATGACTTCGCAACCACTTGTAACTTCTTTCAGTATGAACACTCCCACTGTAGTAAGGGAAGAGCTACTAGGAATGTAAAGATACACTTTTATTATGACCCAGAAGTGTTACATTACCTGGCCAAGAATTTCTGCCATTTTTTTATACAGTAGCACCACACACAAGTATGTGTTTTCACATCTTTTATGGGTGCATTCTCTCAACAGAGACAGGCAGACCTTTCTGAGTCAAGTGGAAAATCTAACTTCTAAAACACTCAGATCTTTCAAATTTCCAGATGAGGTTTTCAGTGTAGAATATGGTGAAGCATCAATGTCTCTGGACTATGAATGCAAATATGACGAATATTGCACTTGTGATACTCCAGCCCCGTGTCAAAAACATTACAGGAAATAGCCCTGGCTTGGGGACCATAGTTTAGACTGTATAGCATTTAATGTCAGTAGTGGATCCACAATGGCAATTCCACTAAATGGAGATACATTCACCATTTAAAGGATTGGAGTTTTTTTCAAACACAGACACACCAGAGAAGGAATTAAGGATTTCTGAACATTTCTGAACATAAATATGTATTTTTAATATTAATACATGAAAAATGTGTGTAGCTTGTAGTCTCACTTTAACATACACATTCCGAGTTAGTGATCCACAGTCACATCTGAGTTGCCCTTACAGCAAGTGCTTCCTTCCCCCCACCATTCAAAACACCCGAACCAACAATGCTAGCTCACCATTTTTATTACCTTGCACAATTACTGACCCTTCCCTTATCTTGCTTAGACAAGTAGGACACTCGTGTTTCTTATAGGCTGTAAAATTCTACAACCCACTTTGACAGGTACTAGTATTCCACTTACTGTGTCAAGATACTGACATCAAGATATCTCTATGAAACAAAAGGCTTGGATACATAAAGTGGCTGCCCAACTCTTGAGGGTAAAAAACACCAAGTGGAAGGAAAAAACACAAGCGAATACAGTCTGAAGGGACTGTTTCCCCATTTTGTCTACTGCAAAATACAATTTAATTTTTAATTTATAGAACTTGTACTGCATGGGATGCATCCATTAGGATCACTGACATACCTCCTCCCCCCTAGTCTACTCTGTAAAAAAAATGTTCTCCTCAATAAGTCAGATGGATATTGAGAAATGATTTTTAATGTACTGCATTTGTATATGAGCTTCATATTAAAATAAACCCCTTAAATACACCTTGTGCATTAGAATTTTATCATTGCAAGCCAACATTAGAAAAGACTGCCATTGACTTAAAAACAAAAAAGACATAAGTGGAAAATCAATCATCAAAACCACTAAATGTCACAGCTCAACATTCCAGAGAAGCACTGATAATTGTTAGTTATACACTGCACAAATGATATATGTCCTCAGTCAAGGAAGTAGGTGCCAGTTTTTTAGGAAACTGTACATACATTGATTTTACATTTATTTAATGGGGCTGTTGTAAGACACTTTATTCTTCTGATAAACTATGATTGCTTATCAAAAGATTCTATAATTCAAGAGAAACATTCATAACATGTGTGAAAATGAAAACAACCAGCCCACAGAAATCATACCCACAAAATCCAATTTTGTGGATTTATAGCAGAATGGCATTAAAGTACTGTCTTGCAGGAACAGCAGAGTAGTCACTGAAGTATAACTGGCACAGCAGTAATGATTAAGGTGACATGCCCTCCTGCCACAGCTGTTAATCAGCTTAATACCAGTTATATTATTGACATTCTTGTAATTACTTTTCCTATGGCACATTTATGCAAAATATATTGGACTTTAATTTTCATTATTCAAAGGTGAGTTCAGTTCTAAAAATGGGCAGTCAAAGTTGTGGTGCTAAATGCATGAATTAACTTCCCGGGTATCACAATTACCTCAAGTATAATACTAAGGACTACTTGCTACTTCATTAAATATACAAATGGTTTTGCTGTACCTTGCCATCTTCTGAGCAGACACCCATGTGTTCTCCACTTTCATCCAGGCTGATCTGATTTATCTTCACTGGGCTCTAGAGAAAGAAAAGAAAGAAAGAACACGTTTAAAATTGGCTTTAAAGTTACATCACTAATCATATCCTTTAATACACACACACACACACACACACACTTCCTGAGATTCATGTGTTAACGGTTGCATAATGTTTAGTTGTATGAATCAAATAAACCCCAGAGAATACAGAATAGGTATAATAATATAAATTGCCTAAATGGGAGAGACAAAGCCAAAAGACAGCCTCCTTTCCAATCTTTTGCTTAATCCAGAAATTTGGCTCTGGAGTTCTCACGAAGAGCCAGACTGCCAGACCTTGAGTGTCTGCACACCGCAACTCTTCATTAAGAATCTTTCCCACTATCAAACCTCAGCCTAAGACACACTGACCACACCAGCATCAAGGCAACTGAAAATTACCAGCTATACTGGTAATTATTTCTTCCTTCAGAACTCTTCTCTTGCTTTCATTTTTTTCTCTAATAGTGTTCTCAGGAACAAATATTAGAAGGTATTGAAGTGAAACATAGGTGTACTCAGATAAATATTGAGAAAAGTCTAAAGACTGCCCCAATTTAATAAATTTGCCTTTCCCTATTCAGATATACTTTTGGCTCTAATCTACAGGGTTATATGGCATCTGGTACTCTTTACTTTAAGTACTGAGGACTAACATCATTTGGGTAATGCTATGCATATCCTGTCACATACAAAACCCCTTCCAGTTATACTCAAGTACCAAGAACCTTCTTATGTACCATGATCCTGATTTCACCCTCTGTAACAAATACCTCATCATTTCAAGCATCACTGAAGAATCTTCACCCAAATCTCTCTTAAACATTAAAGAAGTACTTTTTGTACACTCATAAAATTTTGAACAAATTGAACCACTAAATAGATTGTTTCTGTGGTTCTATGAATGATAAAAAAAATCAGTTGTACATTTGTGTGAAAAAAAAGTGTCACTGGAGTTGTGGAGTCACAACAGACATTACACAAATGCGTCTAAAATATCACAGGTTCTTATATATGCTATGGCAGTTGGAATTGCATAAAAAGTATATCATAAAAAGTTACATAAAAAACACACAGTCTAGAGGGACTATATACAGGAGACAAACTGAAGTCTTCTCATAGCCTTTACAAAGCTTTTCCCCATAGTCTCTCATGCACACAAAAAAAATCCAACTCAGAGGAATGAAGTTTTCTTGAAAAGTACATATATGCCCTTCATTTTCTAGAAGTTTCTTTCTAATCAAGGTTGAACAACTGAGCCCTGCACTGCAATAGTTGCCTGATGAGCTGGGAAATGAATGCTGCCAGCCTTTTTCTTTCCTGCTTCCTCAAGTGCAGGAGACACTACTCTCGGTCTCACTTTGTGTCACCAAAAAGGCTACCTGGAAATACTACAATTACAATTACTGCCTATCACAAAGTAATCCTTCTGCTCTGTATTGTTTCCCAAAAAATGCACTGCCGAGGAAGAAGACAAACTAATTTTCCTTGACTTACATGCTCCAGAAGTACTTTCATTCACCACAGGGCGGTTACATTCACTTGCTGCCTTTCACAATCAGAAGTGAGTGCATCACCGGCACTGCAGGCATCTGGTGCACATTCCCAGGCTGTGTTCTTGACAACACCTTTTCGGGGTGTCAGCTGAGGAACACAGCTCAAGCCCATCAGCCTGCCAGTGTGGCCAACATTATTGTGAAAATTCTGATTCTCAGATGCTACACACAGAGTTGGCTAATTCCTAGACTGGAGGATGCTGAGTAAGGCAAGACATGTCAGTAATCAGTCTCCCTTTCTAGCTTCAGAAAAATTTCTAGCACACACACTTATATTTATGCCTTAGTTTAAAAATGCCTTTCTAAATCTCTGTTTCGCTCATCAAGGTGCAAGAGAAGACTTTGTCTAGTGAGAAAAAAAATAATTTTAAAAATGTCAGCATATTTCTCCAATGAGAAACAACTCTAACCTTCTGAAAGGACATGCACAGAAAGTTCAACTGAGTTCACCATGGAAGTGGCATTCTTTTTTCTTCTGGGATGCATCTAAGTTGCCATTGTAACAAGTTTCTCATCATGAAGGTTCTTAAATCCGCTCAGAACAAGCCCACCTTGACACAGGGTCATACACTAAGATTCATCTGGCCACGTTCTTCTCGTCTCTCCAGCACCTACATCTTCTATGAGGGCTGACATAACAGCAGCAGCATATCTAGCAGCACTCCTATGTGACGGCCTTCTTGGAGACACCCTACTACAACAAAGTCCAAGAAAAGAAGGAACAAAAATAGGACACACTAGAAAAGTCGAAAGCTCCATCTTACAGTTCACATTGTTCTTGTTTTGCTACCAAATGGCTTTGATAAAATTTGTCACTGAGAAAATGGAGAAGCAGACAAGGTAGACTATGTGAGTTATCTTCATATAAAAGTTGAAGACAAGTAGCAGGATGATGGAATTTATCTGTCATAACACAGTTTAATAAGCCATGTGGCATATTTTGGAGATTAAATGTGTGCTTAGCAAGTCAAAACATCTCCTTATATACATGTGGTATGTTGTCAGTGGGGAGAATGTGATTCCACAGTATTTGCATTTTTCCCACATTAAAAACTGCACAATACTTCAGAGCTGTTGAGTAAAAACTTGATGATACAGTATTTCACTGCACTGTATATAACTGGCCACTTGTTACAAGCCTTCAGCATACCCAACACCTCTACTACTTGCTTCTAACTTTTTTTCTCCTGTTGTTTGCACTATATACAGATGACAATTAGGCAAGACAAATTCAACTAAGAGGAGACCTACTCATGCAAACCGCCAGCAAAGCTCCAACAGGAGATACTATTATAGACAATGAACACAGGGCAAAGCAAACATAAAGCAATTTTTTTTCAGCACTCAAGTTAAATGTGCACTATTGGTGACTAGCCTGCTCACTGACTTTACCAGTCAAAACTTTCTACGGAGCTTAGAAAGTGATGATAGACCATGAAGTTTAAAACAATCAAGGCTGAATATTAAGTGCATTTTAAAATAAAGTTCCAGCAATGCCAGGATCTTCTTGTTCAGAGCTGAGTAAAAGTCAGGCCTGTCATTTCCATAGCTATGCTCCACAGGAAAGCTGTTTAAGATTTGTACCTAAACCTATCCAGGAAATCAGAAATGAAAGACCACGAATTGGTATATATGTTATCTTTCTTAAAAGAAAGTGTTACTTTGAGAATCACTTCTAATCTATCTTTTCATATCAATTATTTCTATAAATATACTGCTGTGCCAGTCAGCAAACTTACAATTGAATTTGAAGTGCTAAGTATTTATACCCTCCCAACATCATGTGGATAATTTTGATATTTCAGAAAAGACAAGCACAGATAATTTTGTAGGTTAGCCTTCCTCACCCTGAAGAATTACAATTGTCTTTCCCTTGTGTTTTTTCTCAAACATTTTTTAAAAACCTTATTCTTCCCACGCCGTTCCCAGCAGGATGTGGAGGGAGAAAATTCAACTAAAAAGGCTTAGGGATTGAGATCAAGAAAGGGAGGGTTCATGCACATGAGGTCCTACATAGGCAGATAGAAGTGGCTTCGCATTCACAGGCCCTGGTCCTTGTGGGGGATTTCAACCACCCTGACATCTGCTGGAGGGACAACACAGCACAGCAAGGCATCAGCAATCCAGGATGTTCCTGGAGTGCATTGATGACAACTTCCTCCTCCAAATGGTGGAGGAACCAACAAGAAAAGATGCTGTGCTGGACCTTGTTCTCACCAACAGGGAAGGGCTGGTGAGCATGAAGTGATAGAATTCAAGATCCTCAGGGCAACTAGAAGGGTGTATTCCAAGCTTATGACCCTGGACTTGAGGCTTGCAGACTTCGATTGCTTCAGGGATCTGATGGCCAAAGTGCTGTGGGACAAAGCCCTAGAGGGAAGGGGGGCCCAGGACAGCTGGTCAGTATTCAAGGATCACCTTCTCCGTGTCCAGGAGCAAAGTATACCGACAAAGAGGAAGGCAGGAAAGAATGCTAGGAGACCTGTCTGGATGAGCAAGATGATCCTGGACACACTGTCACACAAAAAGAAACGTTACAAGGAGTGGAAGATAGGACAGCTAGAGTAGGAGGCTTATAAGGAAGCTGCCCAAGCAGCAAGACACCAGATTAGAAAAGCGAAAGCTCAGTTAGAATTAAATCTAGCCAGGGAACTCAAGCGAAACAGTAAAGGTTTCTTTACATATATTAATGGTAAGAAAAAGACCAGG